TATATATATATATATATATATATATATATCCTTATGATAAGTAAAACAGATAAAGATACAAAGTAATAAAAAAATACCTAAGAAAATGAAAATATCTACTTTCAGATATTTTTCCCTATTTGCATTAAGTTATTCATAGCATATTTGCTTAGTCATCTCATTATAACTGATAACTAAAAGATATTTTTACCTTTTTCTGATAATCCTAACTGAAACTATAAATAATATTTCTTGAATTACTAATTGAATCAAACTCTTCTAGAAGTGTTTGTTGAAATAACGGGAAAGAAGTTAGGGTGGAAGTGCAAGAGCGGCTAAACGTGCCTGAGGCCATCGATGCTGAACAAACTCCTTCACATCATTAAACGCTAGTTCAAGAATTTGCATCCATTTTTTGATGTGATCCACCTCCTCTGAGTTCTTCAATGTTGAGGTGCATTCCATTAATTTGGATATATTCAATTGAATATCTTGCATTAGCTTGTTCATACTGTTTGGCTCTGATGAAAGGTTCACAATTCGCGCAAGCATATCAAGAACAGTCAGAAACTTGTGGGTGTCTTTGTCCTCATCACTAATTCCAACAAGTGCGATGGTGTGCGAAACACCACCAATTGGCTTTCGAAATAGTTCGAGCAGTTCACGTGCACTATCGTCTAATACACTAGTATAGTGATTTACAGCATCAAACACAGTGGTAGCAGTAAATGTCGATACAAATATATCGTCCTTATCGAATTCATTAACATAGTTCGTAAGAATTAAAGAAATAACCATGACACCTGGGTCCTCCGTCTGTAGCGTTGGGTCTGCATTATCAATAGCAACACTAAAAAATTGATCAAACTCCTCAGATGTTCTTACCGAATGCATTGTGATGTCCTTAATAAGAGGGCCAAAAATTACAGAATAGTCCATTTTGAATTTATGAAAGGGCACACTAGCTTTGTCACATAGTAAATCGGTTGCAGTCCCATCCTTGATAAGTGACATAGACACTTGTAACTCCCCTTTAACTGTCCTCAAAGAGTTAACGGATGCTTCAGAACCAAATTGCGATAAATAACGAAAATCACCCCCACTTCTTCTCTCCTCAATGCTAATCAAAACATCACAAACAACTTTGTGTAGGATAAGCAAAGTAAAAGCGCAGCTTTCGCTGTCCGCAGCAACCAAGCCTGTATCACACCCACCGACAAACTTCTTCACCATTTGACTTACAAGCTCAGAATTGGGGATAGGTTGATCATTACCATCGCGCACGATGACCTCATCAACATCGAAGCGGCATGCACCTTTTTTAGTGGATACAAGAACACTATTCCCTTCTACAGCAGTCGAGCCTCCACCAAGAAGACGCTTGTCAAAGCACACGAGAGACTTGATACGATTGCCCATACACGGCTCCTTCATTTCTTTCAATTTTGAGCCATGTATGGACAATCCTACATGGCTACAGTAGCGTTCGGGAAAACGAATGAGTTGTTGGTGCCTGGATGTCGTATTGCCCACCTCAGAGCATATAGAGTGGCGGTGTAGTAAATCGACAGTGTGCTGTATCTTTGTAGGGAACCTGCTCGTGGTAGTGTCAGCAGTGGTCGCCACATGATGTTCGTTGTCATCTTCATAGAGATACGCCTTCGGCTGTTCATGATCAAAGTCCTTGAGAAGTGTCTCCGCGTCGTTGATCATTTCTTCCACTCGGCGCATCACTTTGGAGGTGGCAGCCCGTTCTTCTTCACTAATAGCTTGTTTTAGCTTCTCAGCAAGGGTTGGAACGAGACCTTCGCGGACACTGCTAACAAACTGGAGGATGCTCCCAGGATGAGTCGCCCTGTTTTTGACCTTTCGGAGGTCCTTTTCGATATCGAGCATCTTTTTGACTCGTTTTTCGTTGCCACCAATACCGATGAGAACAACAGTAAAACAGGGCCCACCCAATGCGTAATGAAACAGTGCACGAGGTACAAGGGGGTTGCACTCAAGAACGGAGCGGTAGAGCCCCACATTTTGCTGTGCTAAACTCGCCACGAGTGAACAGACCAGTACATCGTTCTGTTCTGGGTGTTTAAACTTAAAAATAAGAGAGCAGAAGACAAATCGATGATCCTTCCCGTTCCTCAGGAGACTCAGCTGCGATAAGGCACTGTTGAGGATCTGTTCGAAACTGTGTGAATCCTCCACAGGTTTATAGTGTACACCGTGTACGCAAGAACCAAAGATAGGAGAAATAGCAACAACTAGTTTTTGCGGTTCGGCATTGGGCTTTAGAAGATCCACTACCATCTCTCCCTTAATATCCACTATGGATACAGTGAGACCACCACACATACCGTCATTATTCTTTACTTTACCATCATTTTTAAGCTTGCCAAATATGGAGTGCACGACGCTACTTAAAGCTAGTGGCGGTACATGAAAAGCACGACTAACTCCACAAAGTAGAGCCGCGTTGCAGCCTCGGCAAATCGTTTCAGATAGCTGTTGGAGAATCCCCGATTGTATGTGCTTCAGGTCCTGCCTCAGCGGCGCCTCAATTACCTCATCCATTTCATAATCCTCAATGTCATCTTCGGCCGTCACGAAGACAACGTTGTCATTGTACGTAATATCCGACAATTCGCCACGGTGTGAGTCCAGAATAACCAGAGTGCGAACATTGGTAGAGGCTGGGACATGTCGCATAGTGTCGGTGGTCCCCTGAAACGAGGGTACCTTGCCCTTAATTTTAACACCTTTGGTGCCGCTCTGAAGGCTAGAACGATCATCATCCTTGCTCAAGACGCTTTCCGGATCAGCTCCAGATGTAGCGGATTCTTCCGCACCATTCGATATACGTGTGTGTGGCATGATATTACCAGACAAGTTTGACCATACTGGTCCGCCATTCGGTCCTATTGAAGTGGCCCCTGGAAGAAATCGACGATCACCGCCAGGGTTCGTCGAGGATTCCGATGCATCAGGACGATCAAAGATAAGACTGACGCTGCTCTTCCCACTACGACGGCAGGACGCGGATAAAAGTAGTGGATTAACTTCTCCAGTATTCTGTTTTTGGCTCTGGAGGATAACCCCTATCGAGTTCGAAACACAGCTGAACTTTTGTATAGAATCTGCACCGCAATACAAGTTGGCAGTGGCATTTACAGTATTCGAGTTCTTTCTTAGCTTTTCATTCTCAAATGCTGAAACGGAGCATGAACGAGATAATGGAACTTGAGTCGACATTAAGTAATGCTGCACCTTTAATTTCTTGAGATGAGTGAGTGGCTTCATGGTAAGGATATCTATATTTTTATGTGTGTTTTGGCTCTCAGTGTCAATCAGCTCTTCTGGTGAGTATTTTAACAGTGATTTTGTACGTTTCATGTGCGTATCGGAGCCCTCAATGTTACATAGTCTGCGCTGTGTATTAAGCAATCTTAAAGCATGATCGCTATCTGCATCACTTATCGAAAATGCGGCCACAGTAAAAGTACATCTGCAGAGGATATTTTGAAGTGGACCATAAGGACCTGGATCTAAGGAATGCAAGGCATCGTCAAGAATTTCACAATTGATCCCGGCATCCACAAAGAGAAGCGAAGAAAAGGTCTCATTGCCTTTATCTTTGATAACCTGCCTCAGGACCAAAGAAATTATGAGCATGGAAAGGTCACCCATTTTATGAAGTTCCACTTGCTGATAAGTACTGGAAAGTTTCCCAGATATCTGAGAAATGTCCTTGACTTGCATCCACTTCGCACCTTCCAAAGACATACCTTTCAACACTTCTGCATGGAAAGCTATCCAGGGTAAATGGTTCTTCACGCTTGATTTTAAATATGGGTAGGTGTTTGTATTTGTTTCCTTATGATTGAAATGATTGATCTGGCCGTTATGCATGGTGCATATTGACCACGACAATGCTGCGTTGGGGGGAATGCGCTTCACCAAGGATTCAAACACGTGCTGCACTAATGTCAAGGAACAAGATTTGGCTTTTTCTGTAGAAGACAATAGAATAGATACATTAGCACCAGCAAAAATGTACTCTATCGCATTAGATATAGTAGAAGAATGTAGATGTTTCAGTTTCCCCGTGTCTTGCACAAGCTCGTCGACACTGAAAAAGTTGGGATGCTCCCAAGGGATGCACACTTTCAGAGTGTAATTGTCCTTTAAAGTGATTCTCACATTGGCTGCTAAATTTGATCTTTTTTTGAGTTCTCTACCAGACTGATCATCACTGCTATTACTGTCATATTGAGAGCTTGTCTCAGTCTGATTGTTATGTTGAATAACAAGCACCAGCATCGAGGAAACATGGACACCAGTTTGTCTAAGAGTACTCGCCTGGTGGATAAATTTGTTGTCTGAAGCAGAGGTCATATTATCAGCAAGAGAGTGAGATAGGGCCTCGCGTACTTGGGCACACCCTTCCTGAGGTAGAGGTTGCTCTTTGTGAACACAAGGGACATTCTGTGAAGGCAAAAAAAATGGTTCATGCCGTGTTGTATTTTTTTCCTCAGCATTGAACAGTGACTTGTGTAATTTTTCAGGCATTTTTTTCTTCAGACGAGCCAGAAGTGCCACTACACGCACATTGCGCTCATGTAATATTTGGGCGTCAGACTTCGACGACTTCAATGGTGGTAAAGAGGTCGTCAGCTGTGCACCTTGAATAAGGTTACTTGTATTTTCATCATCGGGTAAATCATATTTTGAGTGGCTATCCCAGTAGTACCCCCCGTTCTTAAACTGATTCATCCATAATCGCAGGGTGCTCTGATGGTTATGCGCCTGTGACGTAGAGTTGATGGGTTCCGAAAGAGATGCCAGGGCCAGAGAAGAATCGAAGGGCGATTCTCTTTCTGAGGCTCTGAATGAGGAATAAATCCTTGATTGTTGAACTTTTTCCGTAGATGCCAGTGAGTGAGTCATGCCTTCTTTGGTGCTATAGACACCGGACAGTGAAATTTGAGGGAGTCCCACCACTTGTTGACATCTGGGTAAAATAGCTTTGTGGCAAAGTAGAGTTTCCTGTCTTTCTACCTTTTTAGAAGGAGTAGTCATTATATCGGTTGCTATGGGGTTTGAATCTAACAAGTTATTTAACTGTTGCCTGTCCGTGTGTAAGGTTCTCATCTTAAATGAAGAGGTCAATGGGCCAGTTTCGTGCCGCAAGTCCTTCTGTGGCGCACGAATGTCACCTCCCTCAATACGCATAATCAAGTTTGGCAGAATTTGAGATGACTCTTGTCTTTTATAAGATAACGCAATGCGTTCCGAAGGAGTAATCCCCGCAATGTGGTGAAAAGAACTATCTTTGGTACCGATAGAAGCGCTAATAGCGTCAATATTCTTTTTCTGAATAGAAGTCTTGGTAATATCAACAGCTTTTGAACACGGTTCTAAAGGATGCAGAGACTTCATCAGCCCTTGCGTCGCGCTATTACTCCCCCAAATGGAAACAAATACAGAACCCTTCTCAGTGTAGGGCTTTTCACTGACCTCCAAATGTCCTGAGTGATGATTCTGTATCTTCGCCTTCGAAAGGCCTGGTTTAAGCAAGGAACCAGACAACTTATCAGTGTTGCCCTTGATGGACAACAGATCCATTCGGTCGGATTTTAGGGATTTTGAACTAGGCTTGACCACAGCTGTTTCATTTTTTGGTACATAAAGGCGTGGCAGTATCTTTGGTGTCTTGTTTGCTAAGAGATCAACCTTATGTGTGGCTTCAGATGATTGAGTAGGTTTGATCTCTGATAAGATATATGATTTGGATTTAGGTCGTATACGCGGGGAACATGAGCCTGATTCTGATCTGTGAGAACTAAATAGTGAATACACATGGTGCCTACGTCTTGGTGATGGCATAGATATATTCTTCAACATATGTAAGGTCTTGGGAAACTTTGAGTATGCTTTATTTTTAATCGGAGGTATATCAAATGTGCTGGTAGTGAAGCACACAGAGGGCTTCTGGCGGTGTGCCACTGTTGCTGGAACAATGGGTGGCTGAAGCTTAACAGGTGTGACCCGGTTGACAGGTTGACCTACAGGTCTGCTCATTGAGAATAATCGCCCAGATTGACTGTCTAGCAGCTCTGCTGAAGTTATCGGAGGGCATACCGTCAAGGGACCAAAAGCCGTCGACTTGCCAGTGGAATGAATGAAGCAACTTATTGAATTAGTGTCAATCTCGCCCAATGTCTGTTCGGTTGCCGTATCAACTTTATCTTTAGAAAAACTGCTCTCAGGCAGATTGAATTTGCATGCATTTGGCTCACTAGTACTCTGAGTCTCTTCTGAAGCCCTTCCACCAAGTAAGAAAGAAGAAGAATGGGATCGTACCGTTTCCCTGTATACAGTCTCAATTCCTGGGCAAGTTGACGATTCTGGTGGAATTTTAGTTGAGATACATGCCTGTAAGAGCGACCCATTCTCTCGTAAAATGTCCGAACTGGCTCTGATAGGATTGGAAATAAGTTTCCCATGAAACCGAAAGAAGCTATCTACACGAAACAAATCTGGCATAGTATTTTCATCTGTATTATCTATTGTTTTGGACTCAGCTTTAGTGTCAATATCAAGCACGATTTCATCGTTGTTTTGTGGATAGGCACTAGATAAGCTCCTGATAGGTGAATAAGAAGAAAAGAAACTGTTTCTCATCGGAGAAGCCCTTCTAAAAGAAGTTTGCCGACCAAATCCTAATTGAGTTCCGTGAAAAAAAGTATCGATACCGAAGTTAAATGCATTATCCTTATTCGAAGAATCCTGGCTGCATGAATCACTTATTGGAGCGATTTCTGGATTGTTGTAGCTGCTTCTTTTACCATCAGAAGAACTTTCGAAAA